GGGGGGGGGGGGGGGGGGGGTCTGTCCTCTCCCAGAAGAGAAAAAGGGAGAGTGCCAACCTCAAGAGTGCCCTGGGCACAGCACCAGCCCAAAGAGAACAAGAGGGGACGGGCCCATCCTGCCCTCCCAGGACACCTGATGTTGTGCCTTCATCCTTCAGCTGCTGCTGGTTGGGGAAACCCCTCCTTTAAAAGAGGAACGACTGGGAGTGGCTGAAGCCATGTCACGGGGACGCAGCAGAATAAGGGGGTCGTCATGTTGGTCCCTGCTGGGGTAGATGCAAGTGGGAAGAAGCCTGCAGAATCTTTAAAAATCCTTAAAAACACCGGATTTTTTTCATACTGAGGAAAAGATGATGATGATGATGATGATGATGATGATGATATTCAGCATTATTAAAGAATTTCATGGCAGACTAAGGTAAGGTGTGGATCATTAAACATTTCTCGTGAAAAAAGCATTTAGTATTTCAGACAAATGTAACAGATATAAAATTGACACAAGTTTATGAGCAGTACATCCTACGGCCTGGGCTGAAATGTTTTATACACAAACAAAACACATTTTCATGTATTTGTATATAAAATTAAGGGTAACACGAAGTACTTACTATGTCTGATACACTGTGGCAAAATTACGTGCAGGGCAATTATAAAAGATTGTTCCATAATATATGATAGTTCAGGTGAATTAAAACAGCTCCTGAAAACTTTCATAATGCACTAATATAGACTTTCTTTCTACTTCGTGGGCACCCAACGTTTGATCATATGATGAGTTTCACCAAGCAAAACTGGATCTTCTAGAATGTAGCAAGTGAAAAAACAACTGTTGTACATTTTCTACCACATTATCCTAATTAATATTTGGAGACTCTAGACATCAAGTTCTCTGTTTTTTATCTCAGTACAAACTGTAGTCACTCCAAAATATCTGGTGTACTTTGTCTCCATGTTGTCCCCCATTTTGAGGTCCAATTTCATGAATCTTGGTTGAATTATAGGTATCTATTAGCCTGGAGTGCTAAGTTTAACTTTAAGGAATTTTGTGGAAGCCTGTAACTTGCCTTTCTGAATCAAGTGCCCAAGAAAAGCATATATTTACTGTAAGGGATCTATGAGAGCCAAAGTATGTGGCCTGGCAGAGACGAATACACCTCAGGCTTCTCTCAACAAGACAATACACGAAGCAACCTATCATGAGATTTTATAGTGCTTTCTGCAGTCAAAATTAAAGCAAGCAAGGTTTCAAGATATACTTGCTTCCTCCAGATAGTTTGCTGCTTAGCAACAAGCAAAAACAGCAAAACCAAAACAAAAATCCATAGGGGATAAGAGCATTCCATTTGTAAAGAAAATATAAAATCCAAGTTTATTAGCAATTATTTAGCATATCCTCAAACTCATAGGACTTTTTTTTTTTTTTAGTTTTGTTTCCATTTGGGATAATTTCCAAACAGTCTGATCTACTTACATGTGTTTCTTTTCGAGCATTTGATTTGCTGCAAAGTACAGGGAAGAACCCATTAGGTTCATACATGGTCCCAAACTGAAATATGATTCAACTGCTTTTGACTTTTAACTGTGTGGACTCAGCCACTATGGTTCATAAGCCTTGGTCCATGCCCTATGAGTACCAGGACACCGTGGCTTAAATTTAAAAACCATGGCTTAGTGAGATATATAAATTCGGCTCCATCATCCATCCATCCATCCATCCATCCATCCATCCATCCATCCATCCATCCATCCATCTTACGTGGCTGTCCATCTATCCAAGAAACTCTGGGCAGCAACCAAAAATTGCAAATAAGGAGCTCTGGGATCACGAGAACCACATCCCCCTGGCTGAGGCAACTGGAAGCATTTGCTTCCACACTTAAATTCACCAGTCCAAACTGGAAGCATACTGGTGACTTTAAACACAGTTTGTGAAAAATGCAAGATTATAAATTTGGTCCTGTCCTCTGCTTAAATTAACCAGGATCTTCCCAAATTCAGACAAGGAATTCTGAATAGTCATATATGTCCAATCTCTTCTTTGCAGATTTTTCAGAGCCAGGGAAAATATTCAAGCCCAAAGTTGCTACTATTCATGCCTGTAAACACTGAACCATAGATTAGTCTTTATCCTAAAAGTGCCTAGTTAGCAGCCTGTCTTTGAAAACTAAAACAACAAACATAACAATGACTAATGGTTTTCAACATTCATAAGGCGAGGTCATGCTAACCTCTGTGAATTAGCCGGCATGTAGGGGCCAAACTAAATGGGACATTAAATGCTTCTTTGCGTGTAATCCCCAAGGTATTTAAAATGGGGGTGGGGAGGAACAGTAATTAATAAGATTCAAGCAGGTTTGAAGAAGACTGAAACTCCTTCCTCCCCTGCAACCAGTATCTGCCTTGCGAGGAAATTCCCGTTCAGTGTGAAACCACTGTTCATCAAGAAGTACATCTCCTATCCTGTGGACAATACAAAGACAATGGCTTTTTATCCCACTGTACCCTTAAATAGTAATGATCCCTGTCAAGGGGTTTCAAGGGGTCCCATCATCTCTGGGCTAGCGTTAAGAGCATGCTGGGGGCCCTCAAAACAATGGCTTCCAGCAGAGGGTGTGGCTGGCTCCCTCACCAAATGGAAATGGTCTGTCGTAAAAGACCAAATCACCAAAATGTGTTTCTCCATGCCCTATTCTGTCTTGAAAATGTTCCCTGGGGATGAAAGGGGGCCACTTTCAGCAGTTTGCAGTATCCAGCCAACTTTGGCTGATCTCAAAAAGCTAAGGAGGACCAAACCTAAAGGTGTGGATGGAAGACTATCGGAAAATACAAGGGCTTAAGTTAAATTGGAAGCTTGAAAAAATATTCCCAAAGAAGACCGTGGAACACTCTTTCTCTTCTGACGCCAGAAGAACTGCACAGCTGCGTTCCCAGGAGCTGAGCTCGACTCACGGAGACGTTACCTCCCCGTTGAGTAACAAGGCCATCTCATGATGGGAATGGAAGGGACTGCAAGGAGGGCCCACCTGGCCCGTTAAGCGCCAGGAGCCATTTTGCAGAGCAGCCGTCACTGGTGGCTGGGCAGC